ATGGGTTAGCAGACGGTTGAAAAAGAAGCGTTATACCCGTTCGTCCGAAAATAATTTTATATACCGTACAGTGTTTAGAGATTTCTAATATCAGATGCTAAATATATCAAGTTCGAAAATAATTTCCTATTTTCGGATTTTACATTTTTTTTGTTGAAAAAATACATCAACAAATTGGCGACCACAGTGGGAGCAAGGCAAGATTGCTGATCCTACATTATTAGAGAATTTCATACGACTGAGGTCTGGCCGAATCATCAGAAAGATCAATATGGCAGGCTCACAACCTCAATCATCATCAGTACCGGTGGGAGAAAATATTTCACCATCTGTCATGCCAAATTTAGGGGAGATTCCCCAACCACCTACCGATTGGTTGTCTTATGTTCAACAATTGAACAATCAGCAAACTTCGGCTATGCAGAACATGTTGCGCGAGCAATAAAATCTTATGCAGAACATGTTAGATCAAGCATTATCAAGGGTTACTCTTCAACCCACCCAGACGCCGCCAGGGGTGTCACCATCAAGAATACAAGCAAATTTTGCAGGGCCATCATATGTGGACAGCACACTTCCAAGCGCCACAACGTTCAACCGAACAGATAGGAGAAAGACTCCTCTGACTTTCCCAAATAATATTCCTTTGGGGCCAAGGGTTGAGAATGTGTAGCCGAACATTACAAGGGAAGAAAGGCCAGAGGGACACGTGCAGGATCCTATTCTTATTCCTGTGCAAAATCCCATTGATATTCCTGATCATCAATATTTTTGTTTGGGTGATGAAATTGCTCACGTATTGAGGGTTCAGTTTGGTCTAAATCCTCAAAAGGCCAACCGACCTGCTTATCAAAGATCTTTTCCAGAAAGGATTATTAATGAATATTCTCTCCCAAGGAATTACAGGCCACCAGATTTTCATGCTTTTTCTGGAGAGGATGGATTCTTTACTATAGAGCATGTGGGGCGTTTCACAACACTGTTAGGGGAAATTGGTAACAATCATTTTTACAAATTACAACTGTTTGGATTGTCTCTAACTAGGACAGCTTTTTCATGGTTTGTAAGTCTGCCACCTGGGCAATTACAAACTTGGGAAGGTTTAGAGATGGCAGTTCATGCCAGATTTTTCAATCCCTTGCCAACGGTTTCTTTGACTGATTTATTGGAAATGAAACAATATCCAGAAGAATCAGCTGCACAGTTTATTGAAAGGGTGCGATTGATGAAAGGACGATGTCCTACAATAATCAATGAAAAAGAGATGACCAATTTAGTGGTCCGAAATATGCATGGTCGCCTAAGAGATGCGCTCACTGCACATGATGTCGAGGATTTAGCAAGTCTTGCATCCAAGGCTGGACGTTTAGAGTCTCTTTTCAGGAAAATGGATCAGAATTTCAGGCGTAATAAAGGTCAACATATGGCTAGTATGGGCACAGAGGCATGCGAATTTGATTTTGATCAGACATAAGAGATGGCAGCCGAAATCATCTATGGAAAACCTTATGTTTGTTCCAAATTGAAGCCAATGCCAGGAACTGAAGGAAGGGATCAACCGACGTTCGACGGTTCAAAAGCTAACGAAATCTTTGATATTTTGCTGACTAATGGCTAGATCCGAATTCCCAAAGGGCAAAGATTGGCTACTAAAGAAGAAATTAAGGGGAGACTGTATTGCAAGTGGCATAATTCCTTCACACATAATACCAGTCAATGTACTCATTTTAGGAAGGAAATTCAAAAGGCCATTAAGGCAGGTCGGCTCAAGTACATCACTTTGGGTGTGGAGCAACAACCATTTCCAAAAGTAACCACATCAATGGTTAATATACAAGCAAGTTCCAGATCAGAAAAAGGGAATTCATCAAACAGTGGCCGACCAGAGGAGAAACTCAAGGTCTGTGAAAAAATAGTGGCTGAAAAATGGGATAACCAAGATGGTTCTTTTAATGTGGAATTAAAGGAGCAAGCGTTGGTCCGGGACCACCCGACTAGGAGGACGGGTTCGGTCGGAAGCAAATGGACTCGAAATAAGAAACCTTTACCAATTGATGTGGATCCTCGCTTCCCAGGCATGAATCGTACTCAGATTCGGAATGCCAAACGCAGATACTCTGCGAGATACAGAGACAAGGTCGCTTCCTCGAAGCAACCAAACGACAGCCGAGGCGCTGCTAAGTATACTGAAGGAGGTCGGTCCATCAGGGTTGTCTCGTTTGAACAGCCGAATGAGGCAAAAGGAGGTCGGTCCATGTAAAAGAAGGGTAAAGGCTTACCAGATGAAAGAGTTAAAGGTTTCAGGTGTCAACATTGCGAGAAGGTTAACATTAATCCATCACTGGAGGAATTTCGTTTAGAATCTCTGAAAATTCAACCTGAAATTGAAACCAAAGAAGAAATTCCAGAAACCATTTCAAGGTCTGTCAAATCTCGATTAGGGCCACGTATCCCCTGCCGAATGACAGAAATTAACTTGGTCGAAGAAGAGCCTTTGTGGGCAAGTTTGGTGGATGAATTTATAGAAGAGCCAGAATGGGCAAAGATTTCGGATCCTAATTTTAAGTTAGAGGTCCCTCCAATAGTCTTCCCTCCCATTTCAGAAGGCACGGCGTCTCATTTGAAGCCTCTGTACGTTAATGCTCATATTTATGGGAAACCAATCACAAAGGTTTTCATAGATAATGGAGCCGTCTTCAATGTAATGCCATTAAAGACTCTCAAGAAGTTAGGAAAGAGAATTCACGATCTATCTCCTGTGGATTTTGAGATGACTAGCTTTACAGGGCAGCCGACCAGACCGGAACGGATGATGGCCGCCTCAAATGAAGTCGGTCCAAAAAAGATTTCCTTTGTTTTCTTTGTGGTGGACGCAGACATTACATATTCAATTTACTTGGACGAGATTGGATTCATACATCTAAATGTGTGCCATCCACACTGCATCAACAATTAATGTTCTGGAAAGGCAATCAGGTCTTCAAAATGGAAGCAAATGACAATCCATTCGGAGCATCAGAACAAGTTGAAGAATCAATTTTTTATTCTGGTCATGTACCTTCAATGTTTCAGTTTTTTATGGCTAATGAATACGCCAAGAAGGGTTTAAATTCATCAGCCAGAATTCAATGTTCTTTTAAAAGAACAGTTGTACTGTATGGCTCTTGAGAAAGCCAAACCTATTTTTATACTATATTTCTTATGGAAGGTGCAAATTTACGAGATTGTAGTCTACTTATTAATCAGTATTATTTAGACCAGCTTTTGAAAAAAGTAGAAAAAAATAAAAAAAGATATATGATGTTCATTTCCAAGAAGATGAGCAATTTCGTTGGCCTAATTTATTAGAGAAAAGAGAGTCAGGTTTCTCAGCACAAGATCCTTTATTGGATTTCAACTTAGGAACCGACCTGGTTCCAAAAATAATCAGGATGAGTGGTTATTTGTCTAAAGAGCAACAAAAATTGATGCTCGAGGTTATAAGAAACAATATTGATTGTTTAGCTTCAGAAATGCCTGGTTTAGAGCGAAGTCTGATAGAACATCAATTGCCCATTAAGAAGGATTTCAAGCCTTGTAAGCAATCTCCAAGACGTATGAGTCCTGACTTGATGCCTCAGATCAAAGAAGAGATTCAGAAGCTTCTTGAAGTAGGTTTCATCCGACCTTGCCGTTATGCGGATTGGTTGGCCAATATTGTGCCAGTGGTTAAAAAGAATGGTAAGATCAGGATATGCATCGATTTTAGAGATCTTAATATGGCCACTCCTAAAGATGAGTATGTGATGTCTATGGCCGACATGTTAATTGACTCTGCAGCAGGGCACATAATTCTCAGTTTGATGGATGGTTATGTAGGATATAACCAAATCTTTTTGGCAGAGGAAGACATTCACAAGACAACATTTAGATGTCCAGGAGCATTAGGTATTTATGAGTGGACAATTATGCCTTTTGGCTTGAAGAATGCTGGGGCGACTTATCAGAGGGCCATGAATTCAATTTTTCATGATCTCATTGGTAAGTCTATGGAAGTATATATTGATGATGTTATCGTCAAATCTTCTAGTTTTGAGGAACATTTGAGGGATCTTAAAGATGCTTTCAGTCGGATGAAGAAGTACAAATTGAAAATGAACCCGACTAAGTGTGCTTTCGGTATATTAGCCGGGAGTTTCTTGGGGTTTTTGGTTCATGAAAGGGGAATTGAGATTGATGCTAATAAAGCCAAGGCAATACTTGCCAGCCGACCACCTCAGACGGTTAAGGAAATTCAAAGTCTGTTGGGGAAAGTAAATTATCTCAGGCGGTTCATTTCCAATGCTGCTGGCAAGGTCAGACCAATCACTAAATTATTGAAGGCAGGAGGTAGCGCCTTTGAGTGGGGACCAGACCAACAGACAGCTTTAGAGGCTATAAAGCAAGCATTGGCTCAACCACCTGTGTTGATGCCTCCCAAGGAAGGTCGGCCCCTCAAACTTTATTTGGCAAAAACCTATGAAGTGGTCAGTTGCTTACTAGCTCAAGATGGAGATGATGGAAAGGAAAGGACAATTTATTATTTGAGCAAGACTCTCACAGGATCAGAATTAAATTATACAATGCCAGTGAAGATGTGTTATTCATTGGTGTTTGCATGCACCAAACTTGAACATTATATGTTGCCCAGAAGAGTTGAGGTTATTTCAAAGATTGATCTCACCAAGTTAATTTTGCAAAGACCTACAATGCAGGGCAGACTTATGAAGTGGGCCATTAAATTAGCGCCTTTCAATTTGTATCATTTCCCTTTGAAAGCGGTCAAAGGCCAAGCAGTAACAGACTTTTTGGCAGACTTCGCAGGTCATGAGCAACAACTGACCGGGGGCATGTCCTATGTTAGTACCCGAAATTGGCTAATATTTTTTGATGGTTCTACCTCAGGAAACAGATCGGGCGCAGGAGTTTTGTTAGAAGGGCCAGACGGCCAAAGGATTAATCTGCAGTTGCAATTAGAAGCCATGACCCATAATTCAGCAGAATATGAGGCTTTAATCTTGGGATTTGAGGCTTCGATAGCTAGGAAAGTTCAGTCGGTTATTATAAAAGGAGATTCTCAGTTGGTGATTAACCAAGTGAACAAACAGTATGTTTGCATTTATCCCCACCTACGCAGATACAGAGATTTGGTTGGTCGGTTGCTATCGAAGATCTCCGAAGTGATAATTGAGTTCATCCCTAGAAAGGAGAATCAATTTGCAGATGATTTAGCTCAAAAAGGTTGCAAGGGAATCCTAAAAGATATATGTGCAGAGGTCGGCCCGGAGACAGAAACAGGAACCGACTGGAGGACAGAACTTGTCATGTATTTACAAGATCCAGGAGCAAATGTACCGATTGGAATTTGACTGAAAGCTTTGTGGTTCGAATTGGTAGAAGGAGTGCTATATAAAAGAACATTCGAAGGATTGCTCTTATAATATTTGGGGCCCAAGCAGGCTTTGGAGGTGATGACAGAAGTGCACAGTGGAATTTGTGGAGCTCATCGAGCAGGTCTGAATATGAGATGGGCTATTCATCGTTTAGGTTTCTTTTGGCCAAAGATTTTTGAAGACTGCATACAATTTGCCAAGGGCTGCTAAGAATGTCAAAGGCATGGGCAGTTAATTCATTTACCAGTCACAAAATTGCAAGCTATGGTAAAACCATGGCCTTTGAAATCTTGGGCTATGGATATCATTGGTAAAATTCATCCTCCCTCGTCCAAGAATCATTGTTTTATTCTGGTTGCAACAGACTATTTTACCAAATGGGTGGAGGCGGTTGCTTTGAAAAATGTGGATCAGAAGGAGGTGATCGATTTTGTGCTGAATCAGATCATATATAGGTATGGTATACCTCATTCAGTAACAACCGACCAAGGTTTGGTCTTTACTGGGGAGAAATTTTTAAGTTTCTTGACAGAGTTTGGTATTCGTCTGAATCATTCTTCGCCTTATTATCCCCAAGCTAATGGGCAGTCAGAAGCAACTAACAAGATTATCATTGGGATTATCAAGAAAACGATTGTAGGGAACCCAAGGAAATGGCATTTGTTGTTATCTCGAGCCTTATGGGCACATAGGAATAACAAAAGTTCTGCCACAGGGTTTTCACCATATCAACTCACCTTTGGACAAGATGCTGTGTTGCCAGCCGAAGTGCAGGTCTCATTTGGACGCACAAATTTTACCAATGATGAAGTTACTGAGGAATATCAACAACTGATGTTGCAGCAATTGGAAAGTCTGGATGTCAACCGACTTCATGCAATTGATCAGATTGTGAAGCAAAATGAAATCAGGGCTAAGACTTATGGAAAAAAATCTTTTACAGAACATTCAAAGAAGGAGACTTGGTCTGGAAGACTATTCTTCCAACATATAAGAAGATTGATCAATTAGGAAAGTGGTCCCCGAATTGGGAGGGTCCATTCATAATTCAAAAGGAAATCGAAAATGGTGCCTTTATTATTATAAATCAAGAAGGTAAAAGGGTACACGACTGTATTAATTCTAAATATCTGAAGAGGTATTTTCCTACCTTTCCAGATAATAAGAAAGCATGAAATAGTAAGTTTATTCAGAACCCATTTGCCAAGGGTTCGAACCTAACAAGGGTTTATTCATTATCAGATGTTGAATCATGCAGAGGATTACTTTCTCCTGAGTCAGAATCTTCATACCAACGATTACGGATCAGTTCTGGCTCTTCATCAACAAGGTCCTCTAAGCTAGGTCGATACTTCTCCCACTGATCTTGCATCTTCTCAAGATCATAGTCGGTCCGGGCTTTCATGTCTGTCACGGCTTGGCGTTCACGATCAACAAGAGTGCGTAATCTTGAAAAGACTACGCGTTGATTGGAGAAGGTATGATCCCAGCCAAGGTCTGGGAGTATGGCTATCACATGGTGTTCAATCAAATCTATGTGATGATCAATGTCGGGAAGGCGATTTTGTATATCCCGAAGAGTGTCATATCCTTCTAGCACTTTTTCCATCAGGCGAATAACACGATGAATAGTTTTCTGCCTCGTTGGGAAAATCTGAATTTGAAATCTAATTGCTTGAGGACGTATAACAGGTCTTCGGCATGACCTCTAACTGGATGATTACCCAAAAAAAAAGGTTGAATAACACTTTGCCAATTGTTTACAGGAACATGAGGATGGTGGGGTGGCATTTTAATATCTGTTAGCAGGTGTGTTCAAGGTTTGATTTATGGATAAACGTTTGTTTGCTGGTTTGCATGGACTGCAAATGTTTATAAAGGAGATGAATTGATTGTTCCCCGAAGGGTTGGAAATTTGGAAAGTGATCCTTAACAATAGGATAAAATTTTATTTAGCAAGTCAAAGTTTCCAAAAGTTTATAAAAGAGATCCTAAAACAAGTTTAATTTGAAACCATTTGTCTTCTGCTCTGGAGAGTCGTTTGTTATTGGCAGCCGACTGGTACTGCCTGATGAGTTGGGATCGGGCGTGAATTTTTAATTCCTGGTCCAGGTCGGCTGCATTGGTCTTGTACCGATCAATCAGGCGTTGCTCGTTGTTTATGTGGCCTTCCAGGACATAATTTTCTTGATAAAGCGCCCTCAGTTCTGCTTCTTTTTGCTGGATTGATCCCTCTATTTGTGCCTTGGCATTCTTAAGGCCTCTAGTCGGCCAGTCGCTTGTTGAATGGATTCCTTGGTTTTGGTCAAGGAAGCCTCAAGATTTATTCGATCCTGGTCGGGCAAGGGTGTCTCAGTCGTCCAAAGTTGAGCGAACAAAACTTCGTTTCAGAGGTCAGATAGTCGCTCCATCAGTTGTTGAAGAATGGAGGTAGCAGCCGACTTTGAAGACATTTGAAACAGAAGACCACCAATGTCTTGAAGAAGGCTGTCAAGCAAGTCTGATCCCAGGTCGGGGAAAGATTGGTCAATAGCCTGTGCAATTATAGTTCGGACGTCCGTCGGGATGGGGACAGTCGACAAGAGGGCTAGATCAGAACATCCCTGGAGGAAATGATATTTATTTCAGACTGAATGGAGCATAAATATTGAGAATTGATTGTGGAAATTGTTTTTACCTCTGGACGGATGGTGGTCATTAAAGGTGCCATAATAGTCATAGGTCTAGAAGGATGAGCGACTGGTACTTCGATAACTGACTCGTCGGCTGCTTCGAATGGGTGTTGAGGTTTGGATCTGGGTCCCTGAACAGTGGGAATGTAGTGTATTCAATAGCATGAAAACACTAACTTGTAATTTGGAAAAGAGGGTATCAAGCGTGTACCAAGTTAACAGAAGTCTCTGAGTCAGAGGAAGGGATTTTTGTAATTCTTGCAAAAGGCCCCTCGGTGGAGCAGCTGCGGGTTCTTCCTCGTGTCTGTTTATTTCTGGTAGAGGGTCCGCTGCCCTTGGGTCTGCCACTCTCAAATCGGCAACCCCCAGGTCGGCTGCCGTCGGGTCTGCCACTCTCAAGTCGGCAGTCCCTAGGTCGGTTGCTCTTAAGTCTGCTACCCTTTGGTCGGGTGCATCTGGGGCGGCTGCAACGAGTTCGTCGGGAGTATCACGAACGGCCACCTCAGGGATAGTTCTGTCTTTTGAGGTGACCGCAGCAGAAGCAGTCGCATCACTGTTTGATGAAATTTGTGTTGTTGCCAGTTCGGCTGGTGAAGGCGCCTGTATCAAGGTCTGCCATTTGGTCGGGGGTTCAGGTGCATGAAGTTGGTTGGTTGGTGACTCTGATGATTCGTTTGGAGTTGGAGCAGTTGGGGCAGTCGCTCTGACCAAAGTCGGACCTGTATATCAGAATGATGGTTGATAAAATGTTAAGTACAGAAGTTGTATTGAATCAGGGTTATTGGAAAAATACCTGGGCAAGGTCGGGTCTTTACAGGTGGCTGACCTTTTGAGCGGTCTCTCAAAGGCTGTTGATCGTTTTCAGAGAAGGGGATAGCTTGAATCTGGGAGGCTTTTCTTTTTCTCTGTGGAGTGCCCGACCTAGTGCCCTGGGTAATTAATTTCCTTCGGGTGTTGGTCAGTAGGGTCGCCCCTAATATCAGTGCAGGCTGGGGTAGAAGGATGCTCAGCAGGTGATCTTTGTCAGGAGCAATTAAGGTCCAGGTGACCGACCACCATTCGCGAAAAGTTTCAATTGAAGTTGGAGAAGTTCTGAAAGGGATGTAGGAGTTGGAAGTTATGTAATTGGTGAGCTGGGATATATACGGGGCAATCAAATCAGGAATGACTTTCCCATCTGGACTCTGAATTATTAAATGTGGATGGGCAATAGGACCAGGCAAGCCTTGTTGGCATCCAAATTGGCGTGCCAAAAACTGAGGCTGATAGTTGAAGGTATAAAATGCTTTGGGGCCTTTCTTATCAATTTTCTTGCTAAAAAATAAGGATCTAGGCTTAAGTGTAACATCCCAGGAGAAGGAATAAATGGGATGCGGAAGTGGGTCCGGTTCAGACAAAGGCGAAGGTATAGGGAATGGCCAAAATAGGCCAGACGCATAACCTATGTACTTTTGGTACATATAGAATCGAGAGTTATTACGATCATCTGCTAGAATGGCAGTTATGATAGGGTCAGATGCTTGGAGGTTGTTGTGACCTAAACAAAGTCGGTTGAGGGCTAATCCTAGAGACTTATCAGGTGTGGGAGCAACGGGAGGTTGACCCAGTTGGAAAACGTCGGGGAAGTAGAGACGGAACCACAATTCTAAAAACCAGAAGGGGCCTGATGCAGCAGTATCTAATTTTTTTACCATCCTTGTCTGTAAGACGGGTGCTAACCCTGGACAGCCCTTCAAAAAGATTCGCAAGAAAAAGGGTGCCTAACGAAAAGAAACGACCTGAAGCTATATGTATGGCTAGGTCAAGGTGAGAAGGGAGGACACATTTTGAAGGGGAAACTATTACATACTTACAGAGCCAAAAGAGCAGGAAGACTGTATGTTCCCGGTCGATTACAGGGGTCCCGTCTGCTCCTTGATGGTCATTCAAAAAATTAGTCCAGCCCCATTCCTTAATGCCCGCCAGTGACCAACCCAAATGGTCCGCATTGGGCTCTTGTCTATCTAGGGTACCTATTACAGGGTCTTCTCCCACAATGGGTAGATGGGCGATCATGGCCACATCCTTGAGTGTGGGGTTGATGGGGGCTGTTGAGAGAAAGAAAGCGCATACCTCAGGATGCCAGAACGCTGCCATTGCTAAAAGAACTTTCTCATGTAGATGGCATGGGAGTGTAGACAGACGTATGGCCTGATCGATCTGTTGATTTTTCCATTGATCCTAGAAATGTTCTGCTACTCTTTGGTACTAGGTGCGGTATGGATTCTTGGGGTCCGTCAAATGAGTTTTGATGTTGTCATGGAG